GATTCAAGACCAGGTTGGATGTGTGGGGTTCTGAGGAACCTGGTGTAGTGGAAGGTGTCCCTGCCCACGGCAGGGGTATTGGAACTAGATGATCTTTAAGATGCCTTCCTACCCAAGCCATTCTATAATTCTGTGATTGTGAGTAGTTTAGACTTCTCCCTCCAATTAATATTATTTTGTGCTTAAATCACTAAGGATGACCTGCATTTGCCCTGTCAGCTCTTCAGTACTCTTCTCCAGCTATCACTGCTGTCCCCCACAGCTGGAAGCAAGTTTTGGCTCAACTAAGTAAACTTTGATCATCAAAGTTTGCAAATTTTGGTGCTCGTCCCTCTTTCTAGATATATCATGCTTGTGTTGGAGCCTACTTTGCACGAGTGCCAATCCCCTGAAAACAGGCCCATTAGAGAGCAGCAGCATTCACTAATCCTCTAACATATAATGCAGACCACAAGGAGCTTTCCAAGGGATTTGGCAGGGGCAGGCAATGCTTTGACTGTGTTTGTGAAAGATCTGTTGTCTGAATGGAGTCACCTCAGATTTCTTGCCCCTAGAGAAAAAACCTCTACAGCACACACATGGAAGGGATCATCAAGCATTTACAGAGACCACAAAGGTTTGGGATTTCTTCAAAAAGTTGGTAACAAGATTGTGTAAGAATCAAATAACCTTGCAAATAGCTGTATCCCATTAGTCATGAGAGCAAATGCTGGGCTGAATTAAATGTTTATTGTGTCTTATGAAGTGTCTCTGTACACATGACCTTGGGCAAGACCCAGAAATTCTGGGCTCTGCATTTGAAAGGCAGCTGGCTAAATAGCCATGGCAAAATAATCAAAAGAGCACTGTTTATTTGCTCAATACATTAACCAAGTGATTAGCTGAGAAATGGGAGAACCAGAAGAAAGAAGAAATATTTCCCTTTTTCAATGCAGTCTGTTTTTCAGACTTTCCACCAGCATTACACATTCCTGGAAAACAAACTAAGCTCAAAATACCTCAATTCAATCATAAAAGCTTTCCCCAAACTGAATGATCAGATTGGTGCATTGCTCAGATCTTCATGTAGCTCTTACTCCCTCTGTCATAAAGTTTGAAAGGCAGTGAGATAATCATGCCTAACTTACAAGCCTATCTTATGAGAAGTAAACATTAATTCAAGAATTCTGGAGGACTTCAAGCAACCAAACCTTGGTACCTTCTTGTTATTTAGTTATTCCTGTATCTCTCTTTTAGCATCTGAGACTTCCACAGGTGACTGCTTCTGATACCAGACAATGAGTAAATCTGCTGTACATTGTGTCATTCTTGATGTAAGCGGGTTCGAATAAAATATTTAATTCTGTTTGAGAATTCTTACTTTCATTTGTTCCCTCCTGGTTGTCCAGGCTCCCCACTCAGTCCTTCCTAAGTTACTGTACCTCATATTCTCAGACACTAATTATTTGCAAATTCTTTCCGCAGACCTCCTACCTGCTGTGGTTACTGTGCTCTTAGCTTTGTAGCACACAGAGAAAGAATGTTGTTCTTCCTCTATAGGACAATTATAGAGAAATATTTTTCACCTGTTTATCTACTGAATCTCTAATTAATGTTATATCACTTTCAGAAGATCACATACAGGTAACCCAGGAATCCCCAAACTGCTGGAAACAAGCTGGAAAACAAGAGCTTACAGAGTGTGTGAAATGCTAATAAGCAATCCTGAATTTCTCACTTCAGGTGTAGAACAGGACTGATCCTCTAAGGGCTGTGAAGATAGTGAGGGATAGAGGTCAAAGCACTGGACTTAGGGCCATTTGAGGCACCGTAGGATGCCTTTGCTGTCCACCAATTTCTGCTCTCAGTGCCCCATCAGTCCTGTGTCATCTGCCAGGTCTGTGCAGATGTGCCCAAGACTCTCAGCTGTCTAAGTGACATTATAGAGTATCTCTGGGCCTTTGCCCCCACCATGGCCTCCACTGGGTTCAAATCCTGATCGTATCAAAGCCAGATTTAGTACTACCTTTGGATCTGTGCTTGGGCTTTGGGCACCAAAGTCAGCATGAATTTACTGTCTTGGGACACAGCACAGCCACAGCGCCTGCCTGTGTGTCAAGTCTGGATGTGCCCATACAAGCAGTAGCACACAACCAGACCTGCAATGAGGAGGGACGGGGCAGGGAGTGTCAGTCCACCCTTTGGGCCTGTAAGCAAGGGATGAATTAGGCTGGCAGCTGCCACCACCTGTGCATGGTCCTGGAGAGGGACCAGAGCACAGCACTGCAGATGTGTGAGGTGCGATATTAGATCAGGGGGTTATTAAATGAGTCAGATGTGGGTAAGACTTGATAGAACTGAACTGACCCAGGGCTGTTCTCTAGATTGAGGAAAAGAGCGGGGCTCTTATGGGAAGAAGGTCTAGGCTATCAGGAGCCAGGTAGGAGCATCTCTGTAAAACATGGAGAAAACAACACCCTATCCTTCAAGTACACTCAGCAATGAAAACAGCACTTCTACTGATTAAAGCATAACAAATGTAATGAAAAACATAGTAAGCCATTAGTGGCTGCTACCTGTTATGCATTTGTTTTAAGCCCTTTGAATGTTGATAACTGTTTTTCTCTTCTAGAAAATCTCTACATTATTGCTGTTTCCCTTACTCACCACATTTGCAGTCATCATTTGCAAATTCAAGTAATGAATTCGTGAGGAGTCTGGATGGCATAATAATGCTATCTTGCACACTAACACAGCTACCACCCAGCAATCCCAGGATGCTTAACCTTTGCAAGTGGATTAAGCCTTGTAGTGTTGTTCTGCTTTGTGGCAAGAGAGTGAAAGTCCCTACAGGCAGAACAGAAACCCTTTAGGGCACCGTATTTCTGGGTCTCTGGGGCATGAGTGTACAAGTTTATTTGGTACCAACCCAACGCCTCTAGGAAGTGTCAGATCTGCTCTGCATGACTGTGCAGACAGTCTGCACATGTTCTGTAAATCTGCCCCACCGGGATGTGTTTGGCTCCCAGCACATAGCACACAAACTGGGTGTTGCACACGCAGAAGGGTACAGTAGTCTGTAGTTTCACTGCTTCCACACAGCAGTCCAGTGCTCAGGATATGTGCATAAAATCCACCCAGTACTTCCAAAAAACATCAGAACAGCTGATGGTGTGAGCAGTTTGTGCAAGACAAAGCAGGGACTATCATCCTTTGCTGTATATGTTCACAGAAGAATAGAACCCTATGAAATTACTCTCCTGGAAATGTTGGACCGCATTGCTCACATGTTATGCAGCAGATCTATGCATGTGTTATAAAAATGTCAAGGGGATTCAGCTGTCTGGCATCCTGCTCAGATTCCTAAGTACAAAAAGAGCCATCAATAACCAAGATGCACATTAGCTCTAATCAGAGCACAGGGAAGCAAAAGAGGAGCAGGAGATTGTTAAACTGTTCACCATGAAACATTTAACAGTAGAGCTTCGTTATTATAAATCTGCCTGACTTCACTGATAGTACATCAATCAACACAATAAAACTGATATTAATGTGTTTTTTATGAAAGGACTAGCAAAGTGAGTTGTCTTACTCTCAGACAACACTAAAATCAGGTCAATAAGGATATCTACAATTCTAAGCACTTGAACAGCTCCAAAAGGACCAACCATACTTTTACTTATCTTGCTGAACTGGAACCTAATTCAGAAAGCAGAACCTACTACTACCAGAAATATACAGTATTCTATGCATTTTCCTCCACATACTGAACTGGGAAGCAAAACATTGATTTCTAGCACATACCCTATTCCAACATCACCGATGCATCCAGATGCCTGCTGCAGTGTAAATGTTCACTGAATTATTGAAACCCTTGTAATGTTGTAAAGGAAAATGTTAATCTTAACAAGACCAACATGAATGCCTGCAAACCCAAGAAATCAATTGTAAATAGATAGATAGAAAAAATGTCTTTATTTTCATTTCAGTGATCTGTGTGGCCCTGCAGTGAACTCTAATTTTGAAAGGAATTAAATAATGTTTTGCAGCTGGTCAGAAAACACAAATCCATTTCCAGAATTTTTGAAATATCGCAGTTGTTGTCCTGGTATTACGGTGAGAAAAAGGCCAACGTATTTTTGAAACTATTTAGAAAAAAGAAAGGTGTTTTCTAATAGTACTCAAAGCTTTACCTGAAATATTAAATGCACATACCCAGCCATCACAAAACCTACAAATGTCATGAATCTGTTTATTACTGAGAAGGATTATCTGAAATGTACCCTGTCTTACACTGCCAGACAAAATGCAGTAAATTCTTTCTGCAAGGGAGCTGCATAAGTTTCATCATGTGGTGCCCCTCATGTCTGCTTAGGAAAAAAAAAAAGAAATAGAAAATTTGTTTCTTTAGCCAGAATTTTGTTTAGGGAATGAGAGTCTAGGGAAGATAGGCGAAGACTGAACCAGTTCCTTCCAGCCATCTATCTCTACTGTATCCAACTCTGGAAACTGCTGTATTCCAATTCCACAGCAATATCCCCCTGTGCCAGTCCACAGGAATGCCATGGAGGAAGAGAATACTCCCAAGGTCTCTATATTTTTGGTGTCAAACAGAAGCAGGGTTTGGAGGTTGGCTGGAGGACAGAAACAGGAGCCAAGGTGCCCAGGAAGCACAGGAAACCAAGGCAAACTGAAGTACTGCTTTCCCTGCACACTTCCCAAAATCAGCAATGAAAGGCACAGGTTTAGAGAGAAGTTTATGTCTGTCATATCACACCACACAAGTTCAAACACAGCTACATGTAAACTGTGCTATGTCTATGCTGCTGGTAGACCTAATCATTAAGGTATGATCTTGGAATGTTTTTTGTGATGCTGATCACTAGGACAGCCAGCTTGGAGCATCCAGGTGAAAAGCAGCTTCTGAAATGGTGTCTGTTGTCTTGAACATTTTCATGAATGTAATGCATGAAAAAACTATATATATATATATATATAAACATATGTATAAAACTATATGGTTTTATTAAAATATCATTCATTGCCTTGATCCTTTCTGAAGAAGGTCTACGTATTTGAGGACCAAAATATTCTGCCAATGAAGATTATTTTTCTCCTGGTAGGAATCCAAGCATCAAAATGTAGGTTTTTGTAGCTGTGGTGAGTAATCTGTCAGCAGGGAAACCATGACAGCCTAGAGGAGGAAGAAAAGAAAAAATCCAATCACATTGGAAACAGATACTCCATAAAATAAATAAGGGGAAATATTTTCCAGCTCTGAAACCTTGTGTTGAAAATTATTGCCCTGACAAAAACTGCACACTTAGATTTATTTGCTAGAATTTCTGATGATGAATCAGGAAAGAGCTGAAAATCAGTTCAGATGCTAGGTATTGTAGCTGACAGATTTTCTCAGTGTGCACAAAATATATTAATGGACAGCTTAGGAGCAATTCAGACAGGCATTTAGATCAAATGCTGAGGGTTTTTTTGTCATGTTGTGTCATATTCTCAGTTAGTTCTAGGAGATGCTGTAGGTACCCAGACATCACATGGGCTTGCTTGTGGATTTCAGCAGAGCTTCTATTAGCATCAATGAAAGCCTCATTAGAATAAGGACTTTGAAATTTATCCCAGTTTAGCTATATTTTCTGTGGCAAGACATGGAAAATACTTGCTGAAGTTGATTGTGTGTCATCTACCCCTCCTGAGCTCCCTGCCCAGCCTTTGGTTTGGCTGTGGAATGAGAGTAATGGGAATGTCAGCTAAGTGAAACATGGTGTTGCAGCAGCTCTGCTGCCCATCCCACACCTGTGTACATAACAAGCCCTGTGCTTGCTTAGCTTCGACAAGGTATTACCCGGTTCACACTGTTGTGATTTCACTGGATTTGTGAGTGTTCTCCAGGGGTTGTGATCTTGTTGCTTGTCCTGCCTTTCCCTTCAACACTGCTCAGTGTGACAGGGCATCCCAGGCACACTGAGGTGACTGAATATGCAGCTGTGCTGACCATGTCACAGCTGCCCTCAGCCCTGCTTGGATCTACAGCCAAGCAAATAATTTATTCTTCAGTTTGCTCTCTGAGCTGAAAGTGGTAGAAAATACAATATAAAGAAGACCCATACATTCATTATTTTTATAGCTTGGGAAAAATACAGAGATGACATTTTTCTTACGCCCACAAAAAAAGTGCATCTGGAACTTAAAGTAAAGGCTTCTTTTTCTTTTTTAAAAAATAATATTTAAAGCAATTAGAAACATTGTAAAATAAAAATGAAAAAATATGAGCATTTTGTTGAATTTTGAGACCAAAGATATGAATTTAACACTAATTTGCTAGTAATTTTAACCATGTCCAAAATCTGAGTTTTTAGTAAACACAATGCTCAACCCGTTATTTCTTCCCTTGTAGCATATCTAAAATTCATCTCAGAGCTATGACAACGACATTTCTGGGTTTTTTTCCCCTCTGAAAGTTTTCACTATCTTTTGTCAACATGGTGGTTCTAAAGCCAAAAATAAATTACAGGCTACTGAGATCTGGCAGTAATTTTATGAAATTCTAGGAATGCTGACAGGGGAGTTATGGTTTATGTTAATTGCCAAGTGTCCTCTCATGGTTCCCATGGATTACACAGTATTACCCACACTATAACTTTTCAGGGTCTTTCAAACATATGCTCTTCCAGCACTTTCTCAGGGAAAGTTCCCATTGGTGTCAGAAGCAGTTTTTCCTGAGAGAAAATAACTAGCTTTTAAGTATATGGGAAACTAGTTTCTAAGGCCAGTCCCTGGGACCTCAGCATTTAACATGTTTTAAAATCGACCATTTGAGTTGGCAGTTAGAGTAAATCCAGTGATTTAAATACCAAAACATTACAGTTTATACTGTAGATTTCACTTAGTGGTAAAAGCTGGGTCAAACAACAGCAGATCATTATTAAAATAGGTCACATTTGTGTCCAGAAGTATTTGTGCTACAGATATATATGTTGCCTATAGTCCAAATTGTCATGTGCTCTGGGGTACATTTGAAACATATCTTTTAACATTTACTGTTTATCAAGGAATCAAGCTGAATTTAAGCCTGTAATGCCAGGTAGAACAGAAGCTGACCCTCCAACTACTGATATCTTCTGTTTTTACCATAATTGTCCATTTTCTGTTTTCAGCCTCCTGGAAAACCAATGACCGTGGGGAATAAAATACTTCATCATCAACTTCTTCAGGTTTTCTGGGTAAACAATGTAAAAAAGTCCAGTTGGAAGCAGCAGATTTTGCAGTCTGTAGATGAAAAAGTGTATAAAAATAAAGACGTATGTGAGGACATGAATAAAATCTTTAACAAGTAAAAAGGTTAAATTTTGTATTAACTCCCACTCTGGTTATTTGGATGATGAACTAAGAAGAATTTCACAGACTTTGAAAGAATTCCTCATTTGTGAATAAGATGGGAACATGTCCATTCAAGTTGGTAAGGGTTCGATACTGGCTTGACATAAGTCCGATATTCACTCTTATTTCTTTGGCTTTAGAAGGGGAGTAAAAACTCTGGTGATCTAGAGGATCAATAGAGTGCAATCTTTTTTGAATGCCATACAGTAATATAACACTATCTATAATTGCAACAAGAACATACTAAACAATGATTTAAAAGGCTGTATATTTTTTCATTTTATATTATCACTCATAATATATATTGATCTAATGCCAAGGAAAAATGAATTAAATTTTAGGCCAGAGACATGTCCATCAACAGCATTTAGTGAACTTACGTTAAAGTGCAGACACTTAAACAAGTGATTTTATCAGGAAGGAAAATGTCCTTTTTATCTTGGACGATTAGTAGGTTATGATTTTCTCTAACTGATTTTGTGCTGGCAAACATTTCAACTAGATGAATTTAAAGATATATATTTTATATATATATATTTAATTATTTATTCATTGACAGATATAGACAAATGCTATCCGGGCATTTAAGAGTTAATCTGTAAGCTTCTCATTCTAAATAAAATATAAAGGATCATTTCTGGTAACAAAGAGGAGATGCAAAATTAGAAACAGTTTTTAGGCCATAAAGAAATAAAGGATTAGCTCTGCTGCACATGTTCTGGAGCTAGGTCTCATTGGGAAGCTCTGAAAGAGGCCAGGCCTTGTGAAGTGTATAAGATAACTCAAACTTTGTTATCCTTGTGAGTTTTTTAAGCTGGAGGGAGGCCACACTCAAAAAAATACCAAACTCATTCTTTGTTGATGCTGATTCTTATAAATGCAAACTGTAAAAACATAAACAAAAAACTAAATGTCAACTTTTACCTGCATTGTAATTTGATAACCTTGAAAGGCCTTTAGTCTTTCTTTCTTTTCCTCTTCTTGTCCCATACTTATCCATGTGTCTGTAACTAAGACATTAGCACTGTCTGCAGCTTCTAAAGGATCTGTTGTCAGAAGAAACTTGGTACCATACTAATGTGAATAAAATAAAGAAGATCAGCAAGACAAGGAACTTCATTTATAATGAAAATAAACTCTATTCAAACGATTCTACTAGGTTATTTTTTAGGTTCCTACCTCTTCAGAATATTGTTCAGTTATTTTAGTTATTCTGAGGTCTGGTTCAAAGCCCTGCCAAAAGAGATAACATACTATGGAACATGTAGAAGATCTTTACTGCTTATTAATGCTGGTTAGAAAAATACTGATTGAACCATTTGCCATGGGAAAAAGAATGTATTTCAGAACTGTAAAACTTGGGGAAATTATGTTGGTTTTGTTGAAAGTTTATTTTGGAGATAAAGTGGTGGAAAGTGTTCTGATAAGATTAGAAAAATGTATTTTACTAGTTACAGAATGAAATACTTATACATCATTTAATTTTTTGTACTAAACTGAGTATTTGTTTTGTGTTTTATATTGTATTACAATGCAATACTCTAAGACACTACACCATCCACCTGAACCAAGCAAGATGCAACACTTCCACCAATCTGAAACAAGTTTCAATTTTCTGGGGGAGGACAGAGGGCGCTGGATGACTTTGTAACACTTTATCAGATGGAATTTTAATTCATCATTCTTTATGCTGCTGTCATGAATTCCCCTCAGCCTTTCTGAAGTTGGACTTTGTAGAACTACTCCTGCTTTGCATCAAAATAACTGGATCAGGATTTTGAACCTTGGTTCTGAAAACTGGCACTCAAAACAGGTGCAAGCATCACCAGCTGAGGCTCTTGGCAAAAACCTGAGTGGCTGAGAAAAGAATGGGCAAAGTTTGCCTTCCTGCCTCCATGTGCAGGACTTCCTTACCTTGGGAGTGGCAATACGCAGGTGCATTCCCAGCTTTGCAGCACTTGTCATGATGGAGTGGAGGACATTGTTTCCATCCCCAATCCAGGTGATAGTGAGTCCATTCAGCCCACCATAGTGCTCCTGCCAAAGGAATCAGAAGCTCTGGGGTTATGTCTCAGATGAGCTCAGCAAGATGATGGGTGAGAGGGATTGATCAGACAGGTCTGGTGCAAAGGCAGCTGGCTACCTTCAAATGCTACCTGCATGGAACAATACCTGGAGTTTACTGCACCTACAGGATGGTCAGGGAGGGAAAGCCCCCCATGTTTTACAGGAAGGCCCAAGTGTGGCAGCTTCCTCCAGTACTGGGAGCTGGAACAGGCTCCCCAGGGAAGTGATCACAGCACCCAGCCTGACAGAGTTCAAGAAGCATTTGGATGATACTCTCAGGCACAGGGTGTGACTCTCGGGGATGGTCCTGTACAGGGCCAGGAGTTGGACTCAGTGACTCTTTTGGATCCCTTCCAGCTTGGCATATTCTGTAATTCTGTGACATGTTGGCACATATGCCACACAGTGAGGCCCAGGCTGAGAGATACAGCACCACACACGCAGTAACTTTAACACCAAAGCTGTACTGCCATTTTTGGTGCTAATAAACATCAGTGAGTGGTAAACATTCTTAATTTAAAGACAGTCCTAATGCCTAGAATAGAACTCCTTCCAGCTTTCCCCCAGACTGTACAAATATCCCTATTCAGGTTTGCTCTGGCTTGGTTGTCTCTACACGATGTTCTCCGTGGCCATGGCAGTGGCCTTGCCCTTGCAGTGCATTCTTACCATCACAGCTGCACAGGACAGAAAAAAGCAGCACTCTGAAAGCAGCTGTGCCACTCATGGCCTGCAGGGTTTGTTCTCCACTGTACAGCCAAAGAGGGCAGGGTTTTGTTTATAGGTGTGGATTGCCCAAACTTGAAACAGCATTACAGAATTAACTCTAGCTTTGCCTGATGGCCATTACAGCCTGTTCATGTGCAGTTACTCTGACCCTCAAGTCCAACAGATAAGGCTTAAGGAGGAACAAGAATAACAGGAGTTTCGTGTTCCAGAGCAGGACAATTCGAGACTCTTTAACAAGCTTTGGTTTAAGTATGCATGTTTATAGGTACTTAAGTTGATATCAAAAGGTTTGTGAAGATATAATCAAGTACTTCTATATGCCTGCTCTGTATAACTCTACCTCACGGCTTGAAGGACTTTCTGGAGAGCCTTTTATTCTTAGTTAAAAACTGGGCCGTGCTACAATTGCATTGTAGTAGCTGGAAGCCAAACAGTGTTTCAACACTTTGTGTGACACGATTCAATGCTTGTCAGAGAGGATAAGCATCCACATTGTAGAGCTGTACTAACTGGCAACCTTGCAGGAGTTGCAGAAAAGATGCCAAAAGACTGAACAGGAAGAGGGCGGGGACTACCCCCTCCTCTCCTGGCAGCAGCTTCTCCTAAACAAATAGTTGCGAAGTCAATCCAGAACAAAGTTCTTGGCGTTTCTGCCAGGGATCACAATTTTGAATCAAAAATATTAGTACTTGAGATACTGAATTGTACTAAAACACTGTAAAAATCTAAACCTAGTAGAGTCCTAAGCTGACTAGGTTTAAGGGTTAAAACTACAGTATTGCAAAACTATCACTTTTTCAGTTGAAGTTTCTTAGCAGCAGACTCATTGGCAAAGGTTTGATGCAAGGGCACTTACAGGAGACCAAATCAGGACTTTGTGAACATGGAAGTTATTTCAGTATAATGGTTCTTCATGTCTCTAAGGATCTTTCAAAGTCCTTCCACATCTCCTAGCAATGGTACTCCTAGGAGAAGGTCAAACTGAAGCATTTATTTAAGGTGTTGTTTCAATTTAGGGCTCAGTGATAGCTGAGAATGAACCCACAGCCAGGAGCAAATGAGACAGTCCTGAGTTCTTTTCATCTTACTGTTTAAAAATAGACATCACAGCCTGTAATGGTCAAAGCATTGACTAGAGTCACAAATATACTACTATGTTAAACAACTTCCACCTTATTGCCAGCTGCTACTCTGCATTAAAAGGAGCACAGTGCATGCTAAATACTTTTCTCTGTTTTCCCAAGCTACTAGCTGTTACAGATAAAATATGAAGTACTGGAGATGTCTGTATAATGATCCTTGATATACATTGCAAATTGCAAAGTCACATCTGCAGTGATTACTGTGTAGAGTGGACATAGCTGAACTGATCTTAATGAAGATGTTTTGCTGATGGCTGGAGCCACATACAAGGCAGAGTCAAGCTGTGTGTGTGCTAGCAGAGCCTATTTTATATCCTGTGCTTTGTGCCCTGGTGCACTGCTGCTGTAACTCAAACCTCTTTATCTAAGAGAAGCTCACTGTGACTGTGACTGTACTGCTTATATGCACACATCCTCAGATTCCATGAAAGATGAGATAACTGTGTTGGTCAGAAACAGAAAGCTTTGAGGCAATAAAAAACTATATGAGACATACTTCACACACCCCACCCCACCCCCATTTTATGGTATGTTCTTATAAAACCACACAGATAAAATCCTACTAAAAGTGTTTTGCCATGGTGGTAACGCTCTAGGTTAAATCAGAACCTTTACAACACCTGCTGCTCACCAAAGCCTCTGAAGATATTTTCCCCCTTGCATCTCTTCCCAATTTTTCTGAACTCTGTTATGTTGATGTAGGCTTTATACCTGCTTGGGTGTTCTGCAGTTTCTCTTTACATTTGGAACATGACTTCAAAATATTTACACTCCTTGTAAAGCCACAAAAACTTTAACATATTTAGAAAGCCTAGAGTCCTTCTCCCTTATGGATGCTTCTTTGGCCAAATAGTGATTGCCGCTTAAGTGCCATGAAACATGGCTTTGCTATTCTCATGAAAAATCCCTACTAAATGATTAATGCTGATTTTACATTCAACTTTCTCATCCTCATGTTGTTTTTACAATATTTCATTCTGTTCTTATCCATGGGTGCAGTGTATCAGTGTATTGAACCCTAGGAAAAAGTAAGCATGCTCAGTGTTTTGGCACTGCTGTATTTATGGAGAAGACTGGGTTAACTAATTAGGGACATTTGTGTCTGTCTCTGCCTGGACTTGCTTCCAGTGAGGCTGAAACTCTGACACCATTATAGATTAATTCTGAATTGTTTGACCACAACTGTCATAACAGCCCTCAATTAGAACAAGCTTTTGAATAATGAATCAATAATCTGTCAAATTTTAAAATGGAAAGCTAGGGACCAATCAAAGCTTTAGCCCTTTGGCATACAGTGCAATCCAGCAAAGGAGAAACTGGGCAAACTTGGATCTACTGGCTCTCAAACTGCTTAAGGCAGATGCTAGGCCAGTTATCTTTCATATTCCCACACTGGTTTTTGTCATGGTTGTAGAAACAGTATATACTAGAGGGTCATTCCAAATCTTAGTTGGGATTTCTAATTGTTAGAATAATAATGATGATGATGGTGATGAATTTGAAGACTACAGTAATTTGAGGTCTTTGGGTCACACATTGAGGAGAAGTTGAGAATATATGGCAGCTCTCTTTAAGCTGGGTACCACTATTTTGTCATGCTGTTTAAAAAGAAAGCTCTGATGCATTTCTTATGCCAACCATTGCTTTCTGAAAAAGCAAATTCCCTCCAGACCAGTGACATAAAAAGCTAGTGGCATATGGATCCACTTTAATTATCAGTCTGGCCATCCTGCAGTCAGCTACAAGTTAGCTGATTTGGCCAGTGACATTAATATCAATTCAATCGATGTCAATACACAGCCTGTGTCTGGAATATAAATTGTGTGATGCTGCCCTCCAGCCAAGCTGAGCAGAGCAGAAGTTGTGAGCCACAGCTTCTGCCTGGGACACTGGGTGGAATCAGCACGTGGCTGTTACATGTCTGCAGCGCAAGCAGAGAAGTAATGTCCTCACTCTGTGTACACTACCAGCACACAAACTCATAGCCTTTAAAGGCCAAGTCCCCAAACACTCAAAATGATGTTGTTTACATGTTTACAGCCATTTTTAGTGGGATTTAACTCAAAAGCAGACTCAGTTCAACAGAACTTTTAAGAAAAAAGGTGGTATATAGATAAGAAAAACTTTTCTCTTGGGTTTTAACCCAGACCACAGTATTAAAGGGCAGAGCCAGATTATAAATCAAACATGTGAGGGGCTCCAGGTTGCTCAGGAGGAAGGCACTGGGAAGAGGATGTTGAACCTGAGCAATCTCACCCAGTATTCATGACGGGAGCACACTCTACGATCTGAAAAGAACACCCTGAATACAGAATGAGAATTGACAGCCCTGAAAATAAACCAGCTGCATTGTTTGGGGAATGCAGTGGACTATACTAAAATAACCACACTAAAATGCACTTATGAAAAGGGAATCAGAAGCTGTAAGCAAGAAAATATTTTGACACAAAAAACCAGGCAATTATGCAGTTTCAGATCAAAGAAAAAGCACTTGAAGAGGATTCAAGAAGGCACAAGACAGGTATTAAGGTATAGAAAATGGAAGAATAAAAATGTGCTAAGCACGAAGAGGGCCAGAGTGTATGTACTGCTCCACTGGCAAATGCATCAGAAACAAAAAGAAAAGAAAAAAAAGTACATTTTGGTTATTTAGTGACAGCAGGGAGGAGCAGGAAAATATTTACAGGGATAAAGAAGAGAAATAAGCTGCACAAAATCTGTAATTACATTTAAATATAAGGCTACCAGTCTGTGCCCCTATTTTCATGTATAAATCAAATAAATTGCCTTTGCATTGCAGGAAAGCAGTCCAAGTGTTATATATGGACTTCTAACTCACTTAGAGAAGCAGTGGGACTATTCCACATCCCAGTATTAATCTTCTTGCAGGCAGTACTTGGATAACATCTTGCTGAAAATCCCACAAGAAGTTTGATAGTGGTAAGTAGCAACTAGACCCTATAGTTCACATCTCTTCAAGTGTTAATCTTACTTCTGTGACCTAGTAAAGTTCCTCATATGATTAAAATGCTGGTTTAGTACATGCCACTGACTGTAAGACCAGTCTTTTCCACCTTGCTGTACAGTGGAAGGAGGAAAACAGGGAGTAGACCAGCAGGTCAGGAAGGGAAAGCACAGGCAGTGCCAACACACACACTGAGCTGCTGAGACCTCCCCCCGCCTGCCCCTCTCTCCTCTTAAAAAAACAAGAATGGAAAGTGTGTCAGCAACCAGCAGAGCAGCATGCCCTTGGCAAAGTGGGGCAACCACCTAGTTGCCCTCTAAAGACCTCCTGACAAACTCTGGGCTGAGGAGCATGATAGAGAGAACCAGGGAGAAATGGGCAGAGTTGGAGGAAGCACTGCTCTGCTTGTCAGGCTGATTGTGAAAGTGCTGCAAATTTGAAAAAAGTTCCGTGGCTGTCCAAGGACTGTGCACCTGCTGTTGCTGCTGCTCAGGTATTCAAACCAAGGAAGAGTCCAGGCTGCGGGCTCGTGTTCACCTGGAGCTTCCCCCATGGCTGCCCCATACGAGGACACAATGGAGGAGGAGCAGAGGGTGAGTACAGGGTATGTATTCGTTCCACTGCTCTCCATAGGTTTCCCTCTAAGACTGGTGGAAAAAGAGCTGCATCTCTAGAAGCTGATTGAGATGCTCAGTGGTCTCTCTTCATTGACTGGAGATGGAGTAGAGGACAACAGTGCTCTGAACCTGGGTGCTGTAATCACTGGCCTGGATAAAACCAGGTTTGGGGGCAGAGATACCCATATTTGTGTAGACTGTGAGTCACAGATTATTCCTGAAGCCTGTTATTCACAAGTGTTATAATGCTACTTAATATGGTGTTTGCAAGACAGAACACATTGCAAAACAGAACCATAAGATTCTCCTGGTTTACAGTTGCACACAGTGTTTAGAATGAAATGATGACATTCTCATCACAACTTATTGTGTTATGTAATTTGAACACTGAGTCTGGTTCAATGTGATCTCACAAATCTCCCTTATCCTGGGGCATGAGAAGCATCTTAGTCTGAAGCTCATCAATTTTTGCTGGCCTCTTCACCTTGAGTATTAAAATTTTACAAAAAATAATGATAATTAAAATTAGAAAAAAGCAATTTTCACTAAACACACGAGTCTTTCAGTATTTAAAATTTAAAGCATAAATAATTTAATATTACTCTCATCAGATCCTTCCCACTTAATGAATGTCCCATAGCAAAGTCTTCAACAGCTGAGAAACAGCCAAATGAATCAAGAAATTATTCTACCCTCCCATTTTCAAGCAGTGTGATTTTTATTCATTCAGAAAGTAAACAAGGTCAGAGGAGTTCATCATAGTTGTCAACCAACACTGCAGTATAGTAATAATAATCTTTTTTATAAGCCAGATCCTCAACTGATTGTAAAACCACATAGTCCTTCTGTTCACAGATAAACATCTGGTATTCTATGTGCAAAATGTTATCCTGCTGTCAAAGCAACTATTGCATTAGATAAAACTACACAATAAAATCTTTTTTAACAGCTCTTTGATGTGAACAAAGTTTAAATTGGTTCGAGTGCCAGAACACTAAGATTTTGCATTGGTAGCAATAGCTGACTTTTCAAAACAAATTTGTTCAACCAATCTCCTAATATATGGATACTGATTCTTTTTAAACTGTTCATAGATTAGTGAGGAATCAAGAATGAACTAGTGAGGTTTTTTAAGTCAGTGGAAAAACTTCCACTGGCTTTGGCTAAGCCAACTTCTCACCTTTATCTTAATATGTAAAGCTCCCCGCACATTTCTCGTGTATGTGGAATTGCAGCCTAATTCCAATGAAATAATTAATTTTATGCTTAACTTTACTTCCACTACAGCTGATAGGACTACATAATTATTTTAAACTAAACAAGTCCTTAATTATATTGCTGGATGAAGATTTCTTTAAATAACAAATGCCATGCAATTACCACTTAGAAAAACCTAGGAATAAATGGTTTTGAACCTGACTTCCCCAAATACTTACCAAGAAAAAAAAAGAAAAATTGGTTATATTGTTACCTGAAGGGTTAGGTAATCAGCTAAAATCTGGAGAGGGTGATATAAATCGGACAGTCCATTGATTATTGGGATCGTGGATTCTTTTGCCATTAGGTCCAGATCATTATGCTTATAAACTCGAGCCAAGATTGCATTTGTCATGCTGGACAGCACCCTGGAGATAGCAGAAAATACTCAAACATAATAAATATAGCCCTGTTGCACTCTTCGGCATGCAACACATGAATATTAATGAAAATGGTAATGAATCAATATTTTTCAGCTATCTGAATAATTTATCATGCCTGCAGAACAGACTCAAATGTAGTCATTTAACAAGCTGCTAAAAAGTAAGCAGTTTCACTTATTAACAGACTATAGTAAGTAAATGAAAACTGCTGCATTATTTTATGTTTTTTTCTCTTTGGGGTTTGATTGTAGATGTAACATCAATACATGCTGAGCTATCTGAAGTAAGATAAGAGATTGTGTGAACTGTAACTTTTGAAGAATTTGATAACTTCAGAAAAGATAAGGTGTAAGATTTCTGCAGTCTTTTAGCAAAAAGCAAATGTAGGACTGACTCAATATTACAGACTATGCATGGTAGCCTGACCTTTTCAAGGATTAGAATACAGATCTGTCACAGATTGCTACACTTATTTACTGATCTTAATTAACACAGAAACAACAGGCCAAAACACCAACCTTTTCTTTCTCCTACCTGCAGACCTTTGTATTGACACACATGGTATCAATATTAATATAATGCCCAAATTTGAAACTCAGTATAAGGACAGGGGCAGGCTATGCCCTTAACCTCATTTGCCAAAATGTGAAAGACAGAGATTAGCATAGTGGATTAGCATAGTATACTCTGAATTCTTTAGATAAATTTAATATGGATTGGAGCTCTTAATTTCCCTGCATTTCTGTGTTTTAATCAGGCCCTGAAGCCTGACTTTGAAGTAGCATTTTTTGTGTTTTCATGTTATCTATAATATGACATGAAAACAAAACATGGAAGAGACTGAATTAGAAGAGCATGAAAAAAATCCTTGCAGTATCTGTCTTCCTGATTAGCCATGAAGAATTCTCATATCTCTTCACGTGGATATAAGGCTGTTAATGCTGTGATCAGTGAGGTCTCCTGACAAAGTCAGTAACAAACATTTTCTATTGGCACCAGATATTCCTCACACAATCAAAACTCATAAAATGTTTCAAGACTGCCTGTAGAGCTCTCTCTGAAGAAAAGGCTGCCAATAGCAGCTAAAGTGAAAAGGAAAGTCAAAACTGAGCAAGGTATTTACTGATTACAGTGTACTGGAACAGTTGCTGTTTGTGCCCTTATTTCTTCTTAGCTCATGAGTTCCCTTCTCTGTGCAAAACCTGTTCTGTTCTGTTCTGAACTAGTCATCAGGGATGGGATGCATGGTTCCTTCTCACATGTGTCCACCCTAAACAAGAGAGCCAGTTCAATCAGCCAAGGAAAAGAGGCAATGACACTGGGAAATTGCCCATTTTCCTTAGACTTTTTTTTTTTTTTTTTTTTTTGGCTGTCAGGACAGCTGATTCCTATTTGACACAATTGATAAAGAATTTAAAGATGGTTCCTTTGCAAGGTCTTCCATTAGAGGAAATTCAGTCATAATCACCAAATAGTGTAAACTGCTAGATTTTCACCCTTAATCTTTTAAAAGACCTATTACACACTTATCAGAAAGATATCAAACTGTCCTTCTGTCAGCATTTCTAGATGTCACACCTTATAGTAGGAAACCCAGGTGGAAACTGGGTTTGTTCTTTGTGAAATCAAAACAAAATTAAATTCAGGGGAAAAAAACAAAACAAAACAAAACAAATAGACTTCACCTGGAGGTCTCTGATTACAGGAGAATGATGAAGTCTTCTGTAATCAAATCAGTCTAAAGGAAGTCATGTAAGGCTGGAATTGCACAGAGAAAAGGACCTGAATAGATAAGAGTCTTTAGTAAAGATGAAGTTTTGGAAGGTGAGAGGGAGTAAGCACAGACTCATTAGGTGTCTTTTCATTTAAGGTTCTTATGAACTTCAAAATCCCAGAGCCTGGAAATGTATTGGAATATTGAGTGTATTGGAATGCTGCATATCTCTCTTTTCAAAGTAACTTTTATTTCTACAGAGAAAAATTAGATTTTTTTTTTCTTAAGTATATCCTCTGAGGAATCCAAAATTAAACAAAAAGTATGCCTGTTTGGTTTGGCAGATCTTTGCATCTGAAAATGAGGCATTTACATATATTTTGCATAGAATACTGCTATTTAAGACAGTTTTGCTTATATTTTGAAAATGTATATCCATTTAAAAGGTTTAGACTTCTGACTACTTCACTGTCACTCAGTCTTACAGGGCCATAGGATGGATGTGCTCTCAGCAAGCAGTGAGAAGTAAACCCATTCCCCATAAATGCGGAGATTCATCCCCTAATAATTCCAGTGGACTGCTAAAATTATTCTATGAGTTCTTCAGTGCTGTCACTGAACCTGATGGCCCCTGAGCTTTGCTGGTGCACAGTGGAACTGCTCTACAGTGGCAGATACAGATAAGTACTTATATTTCATTTCACATAATATATCAGACATGCTAAACAGATCTGAAAGGCTGAGAGCTCCTTAATGGGCGCTAACTTTTTGCTACTGTGTCAGCATAAATGTAAATGTCCTGTGAAACATGGAACAGCTGATTTATGAGCAGGTAATAAGTCCCAAAATATGTTCACAGCAGCAATGCTTTCAACCCCTACCTGCAGCAACTCTAATAAAAACTGTGACTTTTATAGACCTGTGCTCCTTTTGCTTTAAGTCTCAATCTCAAGTACTTCTAAGGCCTTCAGAGCTGTAGACACATGGCTGTAAATATTTGAAATGCCCTCTGGGTCTACTACAGGCATTTTTTTTTTTTAGTCTTACATTACCTGAATGAGGTTGGGATGTTATCTTTCATTCTCGAGAAATGCCAGGGAATTAACACTCAGGCTGTTCTTTGGGGTAAATTGCCCAGCCTTGATTATGCAAAGTCAATAATACTCTTGCTAATGAGAGCAGGAATGAAGCAGAGCACACAGGAATGAAGTAGGACTCTGCAAGAACTCAGGAAAACCCCCAATCTGCTGTAGCAGGGGAGTGCTGTGACTCAGCAAAGGAGCAAAATACCCAGGTCAGAATCATAAATAGGGATTTATTTCTGGAAGAGCAAGCAGTGACAAAGAAAAGGGGGCTGAAGGCTTGTATGGGAAGTAAGTATTGTGGGAACTTTCTCCACAGAATGGGGACACCTTCAGAATGGTTGAAAGATTTGCTTGCTTCTATTTATTGCCTTATTTCTCTCGTAGCTTACTCTCTGTCTTTTTCCCTTTTGCTTGTGTAAAAAGAGGTCATTCAGGAGACTGTGAATGAAAGATTTTGTGTGCCTTTATTATCCCATTTGTGAAGAAGAATTGAAAACTGGCCTGTACAGTGTTTGTGTATCAGAATCGTCCTGCTTAAACTGGGACTATTTCTTTTGAAGGAATGTATTTGAATCCTGTGGCAGTGTATGAGCTCTTCTGAACTGGACACAGTGGCCTAATGTACCTCAGACTTGACTGTTAAGCATCAGGAAAAATCCGTTCCCTTTGCAGGCCCACAAATTTACAAAATTTTTGAATCTCTTAAACTTGTACTTACTAAAACCAGGCTTTTGTTGAAACATCTGAACACTATCAGTATTGACTTACTGGAGAAAACCCAGAGGAGGCCACCAAGATGATTAGAAAGATGGAACACCTCTCCTACGAGGAAAGGCTGAGAGGATTGGGATTGCTGAGCTTGGAGAAGGGAAGTCTTTGGGATGACCTAATTGTGGCCTTTCAGTACATGAAGGGAGCCCACAGGAAAGATGAAGAGGGACTATTTACAAAAGCATGTAGTGACAGGGCAAGGAGGAATGGATCCAAACTAAAAGAGTAGGTTTAGATTTTACATTAGGAAAAAATTATTTACTGTGAGGGTGGTGAGGCACTGGCACAGATTGTCCAGAGAAGTTGTGGATGCCCCATCCCTGGAAGTGTTCAAGGCCAGGTTGGAGCAACCTGATCTGGTTGAAGGTGACCCTGCCCATGGAAGGGGCTTTGGAATTGATGATCTTTAAGGTCCCTACCAACCCAAACCAGTCTGTGATTCTATCATTGCAGCTTACTTTGATACTGGCAGTTATGTATATAACAGGGAGTGAGAGTTAAGTACTTTCAAGCCTCAAGGGACTGAAATTTTTAATTTCTACTAAAAACACGTATATGTCTTCAACTTCAGTACTTAAAAACAAGAAAGGAAAATTTAAAATGTTTAAATGTTTGATCTTTTTTCTTAAATTTTCCTTGAATTTCATCCCAGAGAACAGCAACATAGTTCTCAAACAATCTCTCCCACTGACTGAAAACTGTGGTATTCAGCACAGACAATGGAACTAAGCTGCCTGATTGCATATTTTGAATTAAGCCTGATGAGTTTGACACTGCATATCTTTCACCAGAATTAAAGGGACTGTTCAGACAGTACTAACCTTCCAACAGCTGAGCCTGACTGAATCGACCTCAGTTTGCAAAAGGGCTGCCTAGAAAGCAGGACAATGCTGAGGTTGGATGAGTTTTAATATATGAAGTGCTATGACAAACAGCAGGAGCACCTGCAAAACACAGCCTCATGTTTTGTTTGCTTTCTGCAACATCGGAGGCAATCCACTGGAGAAACATCCTGAGCTCAGTTCTTCCCTTCTACAGCAAAGGAGATAGGCTGCTACCCGTTCCTGCATGCCTGTGGGACTGGGCATGATTAAGATCTTCCATGGATGTCTGTAAGACAACAAAGTCATAGCCCAGCCTCCACAGCAGTCCTGACAGTGGGTACAATTGTGGAGGAGGGCAGGTGAAATCAGAAACTAGCTGCAAAGTGTTATTCAAGTTTGATCCTGCTGAAACAGGGAACCAGAATGGCCTTCATGGCCACCCTGTCACTGTACATAGGCTATAATGGCAGGCTAAGGCCCACCAGCAGCTGACCTAACTAACATAAATAATGTTTTTTCTCTTCAATTTTGCTCCATGAGCAGCAGAACCAGGTTTGAGTCTTGTCTGAGTATATGTGTTGTCATCACTGGAGTTTTACTCCTGAGCTTCATAAAATGTTTCTATTTTTAAATGCAACCCTGATTAAACACTCTGTATGGCAAAATATTTCTCATTGTGACAATGGACAGTTAGAGTGGATGGAATAATGGTGTACTGAACTATAGATTCTCTGAGCTGAGCTGTAAATATTTAAGAAATTTGGACTGCTTTCTGACATTTTCCATAAAGAAAACATTAACTTCCAAAATTCTGTAAGACAGGCTTTGGCCCAATCAATTACTGAATACATAGTGATCAATCAAGTAGCATTTTACCAACCTCACTGTATCTGTGAGACTCTCATTAGTGCCCAGATGTATGTCTTGTGTTGTAAGGAAGGAAGGATGTCCTCCAAGGAGAGCAAATCCTACAGTGAGGACAAATAAAAAAAAAAAAGAGAAATTTACCACCAGCACCACATATTTGCAGCCAAGACCGATATCCTCTTCATGTAAGATACATTTACAGCAATAAAAGTAAAACTCAGCAGGACACCCAAATGTTTCAAACACCTATTAATATATATGCTAAAATAATTAGCATCTGACACACGAGATAAAAATAAATGTACTTTGGAATAAAACCACTCAAATGTGATATCTTACTGAAATCCTTAGGAACAGTCATTCAAGCTCCAAGGCCAAGGGCATTACTGTGGCTCCCTGTTATGAGCCAGGTAATCCATTCATCATGCTGCATTTCAAGGGACTTTGCATCCTAGAAGGGTCATTTGAGTCACTAGATGTAATTTCACATCCTTGTACATATCTAGATTTTCTTTCATGTACGGCCACTCAGACAGAAAACCCTAAAACTCCTCATAAACTGTAATAAACATGACTTTGGTCACAAATGACTGAACTCCTTAAAAGTAGTAATGCAACAGAGAGAAAAGGAAAGGTCTCAGACACAGCCATCATCCCTCTACCCTGCAATAGTTAGGAACTTACAAGGTAATCCAAGGAACTGGATGGATTAGTTCCAAAGAATAAAATCCGTTCCTGAACAGCAAAGGAGATAGGTTTAAGTCTAAAGCCTCCTACTGAATCTCAGTGTAAAGTCCATCATGGCCACATGTTGGGAGAATGGCTTGAGGGGGTCTGTTTTGTAAACTGTCACAGATGGTTTAGCATAAATCTTGCACAGGACACAGGGTCCTACAGCTGGGGACATACAAAGTGTAGTATTTGAACCAGGCTCTAGGTAGCCCTGTAAGGCATTTTCTGTGTGCTGGGGAAGATTTTCCGTATAAGAACAACTCCCTTCTAGGACAGAAATTGTCAGAGAGATCTTGCCCTGTTGCTACTATTCATGACAGAGGAAATTTCCAGAGAACCAGAGACCAACCTTGTGAAGAGAATGCTGTGGGGGAAAAAAAAAATTGAAGAAAAAAAGGTAAAAAGCTGCTCGGGCTGGTTGTAGCCGTTAGATGGCACTGCAGACATCTTCAGCACTGCAGCTTTAGCACGGTGGGTGTACAGGCCTGTCAAAGATTAAAATCTTGATTCCACAGCTACTCTTCAAAAAAAGGGATTAAATCAGGACTGAACATTGAGCCCTTTCACAGATAAAACCAGCTAGCTACAGGCATCAGGTCTAGGCCCCACAGATGGGCTCCTAACACAGAGCAACCCTTATTAACTTCCATCTCATGGGGGGAGCGGGGTTGAGGTGAGGTCTTCCATTCCATCAGTTCAGCCAGTCTCTAGAGTTTAAAATGCAATAGATTAAAATAATACTGGCAAATCACTGCCTTTAGACTGCCTCAATTTCCTTAGAGGACCAATTAAAAATAATGATGCTCCAGATACCACCCGAAGGGCAAATTTCTGCTCCATCCAGCCAGTACACACTTGTTTTATTGAATGGACCCATTTTTGCTTTCCTATTGTTGTCATTAAAGATTGCTCTAAATCTCAACGAAGCTGCAATCAGACACAAACTTTTAAGAATGAAGCATCATTTATTCTATTATTAATTTTTGCTGTTAGAAAAGGACTATTTACAGATTTGTTTGTTGCTTTAACCTCCTCTGCATCTCAAACATGAACACTGTATTTATGGCAGTGTGTATGCAAACTGTTGCCTAGACATTGCATCCTACCTGTTCAATGCAAGTTTTTAAGTCAAGACCTCAAGGATGAAATGTTATTTGCAGTAACTCTTCCTTCCGAAGTTCTTGTGGATTTTTTTGAAGGCATATACAACTATGACAGTGATTTATCCCTGCAAGTTCCTCAGAAGACAACAGCTCTGCATTTTAGGCTTTAAATGCACACACTTTGGTAGATTATTCACAGTCCAGGCAGGCTCCTATGGACATGTTCTGCTTTCTATAAATGGTGCTCAGGTAAAAAAATAGAAATCTGGCCATTTATTCAGAATTGCCAGACATCAGGCAGTTCAGTTGGAGCTGCCACCTGGAGAACATAGCAGAGTCCTAATGTGCTGGGCTTTCTGCTCATGAATTGGCCATCTGTGTGGGGCCTGGGAACATATTTCCATCCAAAACTTTCCATCTGGAAAAACAGGAATTCTATGCTCTAGCTTTGTATATAGTTGCAGAGACAGAATCTTTGCTTTGGATTCTTTCATCCAGACTACTATTAGAAAGAAAATAATGATGACTTTTGAAGATACACAGACAACAATCCAGCAAATAAGCACACACTGTAGTTCTGTGTTAAACTGGGAAATCTAATCCTTTATGTTTCCACAGCCTGGCCATAATCAAATCCACATGCTAAAGGTTTATATGAATCATGGTATCTTCAACAAACTACTATATATTCAAATTGCAGATTCAGAATAGATTATCATCTCATGTCCATCCTTCTCACTACTGTTAGTTTTCAAAATACACAGTTTTATGCCTCATGCTGTGCTACATTATTGACCCCACTTATGCAGACTTCTTCATGTAGGACATGAGTGCTGGTGGTTGTACAGACATAGGTGAAATCTCCATCCCAGTCTGTCCCTGCTATGTGGGGTAAGTGGGCCAAAATGAATCCTCCAGTTCACATGTTGGATACACAGCTGTGGGGCTGCCTCGCTGTTACCTGGAGACAGTACACAGTCATCTTCTCAAACTCAAAGGAAGGATCTTTTTTAATATTTCAAGATATATGGATTTGCATTTATTAATTCCCTCACTGCCTGCCAGGACTTATGAAATAGAAAGTATTTTTCAGTTTAGACTGATAGCAGGCATCAATTACAGAATATTCCTAAAGCAGAAGCCTAAAAATTGATGGACAGTTTTTTAAGTTTTTAAAAGCTACTCCTCCAAGTGGAAAGTAAGCTAAGTGTGCTTGGCCCTTTTGTAACATGGCCAAGCTAAATAATAGTTGGACGTTCCAACAGAAAACAGACCCTACATTCCTGCCATGCAGTACCATCCCTGCTACATTAGTACATATGAAATGATACAATTATTTCTGTGACTGTGTGTAGTAATCTTCAGGCATGGTCATTGTGTTCCTCTCACCCCACTGTGTAAGAGGAGTGAGTTGGGAGTAACTCCATAAAAGCCAGTGGCAGTGAACCTCTGTAAAGCTGTTAAGATCTTGTATATTCCAGTGCACAACAAGAGAAGGCTTTCCTGCCTGTATTGTTTCCTCTCCATTTCTACCCTGTGACATATTGTCTGCATTCAGTATTTGTGAAATAGTTGGATTTATTTATGACTTATTCACTAAAACATAACTGCAGCTGTATATTTTAAGAGCAACAGTGACAATCAGAATATTTTACACCAAGGTTATAACAAAAACAGGGCATTCACCTTTATGCCATGCCTGAGGATGTTTATTTTACAAGTAATATATGAGCATGTGGAATATTTCTGTTTTCAAAAAGTACACAAGATTTTATACAGAATGAGTATGGGATTCTGACTGTGAAAAGGTGACATTTTCCAGTACAATAGTAGAGATGTCACATTTTCCAATATACTAGCCAGTGATAGCAATAAATCTAGTAGGCTCCACAAAACTGGATTTACTTTGCTAGTACTCTATAGAAGTTACTTGTAGTTCTGAATTAAACTTACAACATCATTACTAGTCTTAGAATTGGTAAAATAATGTGAGCTTCAGAAATACACTTTAGGACAAGATTAAAGAGGCTGTGCATTATACCCCAAGGAACTGTACATTATTCAGTACAGTTGCAATGTCATCAGAATGCAACAGTTCAGAGGCACGGGATGTTGGAAAAACCACAGATGTCAGCTGCTCTCTTACAGTTAATGTTTTGATAATATTTGATCAATCTTGATGACTGGGAGAAATGCTCAAAGACTGGAGGAAAACAAATGTCACCCCTAAGTTAAAGAAGGGCAAGAAGGAGAATCTAGATAATACAGGACATCCAGCCCCACCTCAATCCATGGGAAAATGACGGAGCAGCTAATCCTGGACACCATTTCTAGGCAGATTAAGGACAAAAAATCATCGGTAGTCAGCATGGCTTCACAAAGAGGGAGTCATGCTTGACTTTATAAACTTCTGTGTTTCTATGACTGGCCTGGTAGATGAGGGAAGTGCAGTGGGTATTGTCAGCCTGGACTTCATCATGTCCCTTGACAGTGTCTCTCTCATAAGATCCTAGACAAAGTACTGCCAGCAGGTGGATCTCTCCTCTTTGTTCAGCACTGGTGAGGCCAAACCTGAAGTATTTGGCTTTGGGCTCTTCAGTATGAGAAACATGGCCATACAGGAGAGAATCATTCTGTGAATTTGTTTATTATTTAAAAAAAAATGATGTTCTTTATAGGCATAGGGACAGCAGGAATTCAGAAAAAAAATTCCATGGTGTTAATATTTCACAACAATCTCCTAGACCCTGCACAGAGGAGATTTTGTAATTAGTGATTTCCAAGTCTCTACTCCTTTATAATGAAACCCACTGATTTTCATTTGGTTGTTCCTGAGAGTTACAAAGTTTGTTTACATTAATCTCATCACTAGAACCTTGTCCCACAATTGACCTCCTTCAAGATATTGAAGGTGCAACTCATGGGAAGTGCTATTTGAGAAAACTCAATAATTTTCTAAATAAACACTCCAATCCATTTCAATGCCCACTTTCACAGGACATTAGAAAATTGGGTTTAAATTAGCTAATTTAGAGGAACAAATGTGGCCCCACATTTGTTTTGAGTTAGAAATTCCAAGGGAGAAGTCATTTATGTTAAAAAAGCAGCTGAAATGTGTAGAGTTTTCATAGACAGAGTCTGCCTTTGAAACAAAGTCTTAGGCTTAAGAGACTTAAGACCAATTAACCGAAGGTGTGAAGTTAATGCACAGAAGTTAAACTGCATTAAACTCCCTTGTGGAAGCTCTCACTCAGAAATAAATTGGTTTTATTTCACTGGAGCTTAATCCCTCTTGGATGAATTTATGGGCATTAACTCCCATTCTTAAGTTAATTCATTTGAACTTTCCTGAGCTTCCCTCTTCCATAAGCCTTCAAAAGCCAAGGACTAAGTAGCACTTCCCTTGGAATACAGAAGAATGAAGGATAAACAGATTCAGAGAATTCATTACCTGCCTATGTACCGTTAAGGCAGGCAACTAGAAACTGGACTAAAAACTCAGGAATTAAAAGGTGGGTGGTCTTCACAGAGAATGAATGCACATTCATAAGTCCTGATTATCTGGAGAAAACAGAAAGCAACAACAAGTCTGCTTAAAGAGCATGATCAACAGGCAAGTGGCTGTGGCAGAGAATACAAAGGCAAATTCAGAAGTGCTTGCAGTTACCATGTCTGCTTCTTCCTTCCATTATTTTTGCCTTTTCCTTTACATCTTGCAAAGAAATGTGAACACTCAATGGGTTTCCTGTCCTTTCACTAGGGAGAAGTCAGCCCAAGGGATGCTGGGTCAGCTGGAATGTGAGAATCTTCCTTGATGTATCACCAATTTATAGTTATTGCTTGCTAACATGTAAGTACATGAATGATTTATTTCAGCAGTCCCATTGACTTCAGAACAACTACCATATAAATAAAGACATCATATGTATGTATTTCAGTGTTTCCAGAACTGTATCCTAAAAGAATAATATTCCAGTGCTTGATCTTATTAGGCTAATACCCTGGAGTCTCCATGAAGTTATCTTCCCCTATAGGTAATGACATTAAATTTTCCCCCTAATTTATATCAAGACATTACTGTGATTCCTAGCCTAAACACATGCTTTGAAATGTGACAATGGTAATGCATAATACATTAGAAAAATATTTATTAGAGCTTGCACAGAATTAAATTTGTGATGCTTACTGAAACACATGTTAGGAAATGTGCATCTTGCTAGTACAACTAGGAGCTTGCACCAGAAATGCTTCCTTCTGCCTGTTACTTTATTTCTGATCTGTTGTGTTTTGGAATAATTTGGCAAATTTTCAGTGACCAAAACAATGTGCTTGTGACCTTAATATGTGAGGTGAAAGACAATGAGATACCATTGTTTAAGTTTCTCCTGAGAAGAAATTGCTAAATACAAAATTATGCAGTGGTTTTCAGTACATACTCACTGCACACAGTATCATACAAAATCCAGCTGTGCTATTGCTCAGACCTACCTGTTTCTGCAGATAATCTTGTTCTTGTGCTTCTCTTCTCAAAAATCATGGCCAAAGATTTTCCTTGCATCAAAGGTAAATACTGAAACACGAAAATTGAAGGCGTTTCAATTTTATAGTCATTGTACACTTAAAGTATGAAATACTTATTCTTTCACCTTTTAATTCAGCATTAGAAAAGTTGCACAGGTTGTTTTTTCAATCATAGCTTTGTTCTCCTGCCCTTCAATAAGTTTATTAGCAGTGGCAAGGTTAAAGAGAAAGAAGTAATTCTAGGGGCAAAATCAACTACATTTTGGCACTCAATTCGAGCTAGCATTAAGGAAAACTCAGATACTAATTTAATCTCATGCAGGGAAGTGTCTTCCATTTCCTACGTTTAGTGCTGCATGTGCACCATGTGTGGATGGATGGGGTTAGCTGACAACAGGGAGTTAGCTGCACAAAGCTGTTTAACCTTTCCACCGAATGAAGTCCTCTGAAGTATTTAAAGAATATCTCTGAACACTTTACAGGAAAGCTCTTTGATTTGTAGACATGATTTACAGTATTTAAGAGCTCAGGAGATTTTATCTAGGACAAGACAGTTGAATGGCTCATTCCCAATGCTCTTCAGAACAATATTTATTTCAACATCTAAGTGACCTAAATGACAGTTAAAGCATTTTACCTCTCCTTTGTACTTTATCCTTTGTTTCAAATCTGAGGCCATCCACAGCAAATACTTCAGCTCATCTCCTGTGTAGTTCTGTAGAGTAAGGAGGTCCTGACCTTTCAGATGAACATTCATTTGAGCTGGTCGCCCATACCTGTGTCAAAAGGGCAAAAATACACACTTTTTGTCATTGATGCTGAGTTGTACTCATGCTAAAGCCAGTGAGCAAGCACCTGGAGTCTCTCCCACCCCTCTCATTTGACCCAGCTGGATCAGATTGATGGACCGTGTTAATTAGTTAAAATAACTCCTGCTGTCAGACAAACACAAAACATGCCACTACGCGCTGTATCAATCGCCACTGTAACAGTGTTTCAAATTGTATTATAAACTGTACATTAGATAGAGTTTCTTTTGTCTTCTGAGTTGCATATGGCAACTGCATGCTATCAAATAAAGCCATTCAGAACTTGGTGAAACAACTTATGTGTGGACCACAAAGCTGCCCTTTTGGGGGACAGGATAACAGAAATGGATCTTGGTGCATCTCCTCCCTCCTTTGTGCTTTGTGGATGAGTAGACACTTGCCACATTCCATCCTCACTGTCACAAATGGTGGCATTTCTATATAAATGTGTATGAAATCTGTCGACTACGCTGGGGAAGAGGGTAAAACTCCCCAACAAAATAGCCGTGTGATCTAGTTCTTCTTGTAGCACACAAGAGATGTTCCGGGCATGTGCAGTGTGTTTATTCTGTGTATTCTGGTCTCCAGCCAGGTTTATGACTTCTGAATCACATGAAATTGGATGCTGATAATCACCCAGAGAAGTTACATGATCAAATTTCCTCTAGCTTAGATGAGGCATCTGTCCTAGTTAGGACAGCTGAGATCAGTTCATCATGGTATGGGTGTAACCCAAAACTGTGTATTCTATAGCCTTCCATGCCATTTCCCAGAAACTGTTGTCAATAGACTATTCACACCCTCTGCCCATAGAGCCTGACTCCTCAGGCTATAAACTAGGTGTTAAGAGGCCTGTGAGATAGGAGGATGCTCTTGTCCTCACCCCCTTTGTGGAACTCCCTGCCCTGAGGGAAGCACTGAGCATTCCTGCCTGAACTGGAGGATATATAATCTTGGAGTCTTGGAACATTTTTTTAACCACTCCTGGGATCCAGAGGAAGACTGCAGCTCATCGCTCTCAACCAGACTTAGACCACCACCCTCAGCTGGGCTGCAATCACCACTTTTGACCAGACTGCAACAGCTCTCCCACCAGCAGGTTTTTCCCCTCTCCCTTTACTTTGGACTCAAGCGGGGCCCAAGGAACACCACTTTGTTCATGCCCCAGGGTACTGGGTTATACATTTGGGTTTTGTGGGTTAAGACCAATTGTTTGTTTGTATGATTGTACTTACTGTATTATTTTAATAAATTGTTATTCTGACTTGGGGCCTCTGGTGGTCTAGTGGTTAGGGTGCAGGACTCTCACCGCTGCGACCTGGGTTCGATTCCCAGCCCCCCGGGCAGATGGAGCTCGTCAGCCTTGTAAGGCAATCCATCTAAGAGAAGGTCACTCTAAACAAACCTACGTCCTGGGGACCTCACTGCCACTGTCCAAGCCTGCTTGGCCCCGGCAGATGAACCTCAGGATTAAAGGGTGGGCTCAGTTCAGCGCACGCTGTGTCTCACCTAAAAAATCCACTGCGCAGGCTCGAAGGGTTAATGACCTTTCCCAAATCTTCGCTCGCGAAGACTGGCCATTAAATTCTGACTTATAATCTCTCCTTTGAGTTGAGTTCATTTCCCCTGCTGGTTAACTCTTAAACCAGCACAGCATCTTAATGAAAGTCACATCCAAGCCCATGTTTCCACAGGCCTTATTAAGATTAATAAGGCAGTGTGGCAGCTTAGCCCTTTCTTTGGCATTGTACTTACAGCCTCCTTAACACTACACAGCCTGCACTGTACATTTGGTTTGGATGGGTGTGAGCTAAACATGTCTTTTTAATTAAAGGCAGCATTTTTAGGCTGATCTAATGGAATGGAGATCAAAACAATGCAAACAAGTGGATTGAGTACAGCTACTACTTTTGTGTTACAAGTAGGCTTCCCCACAGCTTGCCACTGAGACTGGGCTTAGTGACAGCACCTGCCAATTGCCAAGTCCTGGAGTCCACAGCTAGGAAAATTCAGGGGGAAAAAGATTTCTGCTCATTCTTCTGTTAATTACAATTAATACAATTCTTGGAAGTGGATAGGCCTGTTATAATTTCTAAAGATTTTGCATTCATATATTAGTTAAATCTGAGGGGAAAGCTTTTTTGGCAGAATTTTGTGGAATAGACTCCAACTGAAACTGGAGGAAGAGAGCAGCTCTTAAGGGAATGGTACCACGCATTATTACTCTCTGACATCACAGTAAAAGCTACATGAATTTTCAAATAAAGCAGCAGAATTCCTTCTTAAATTGAAGATATCTAAATGCTGTGTGTTTTCCTTCTGGACACCATAAAAGTACATTAGATACACATTATACCACTGCCATTATTAAGAGGTTTTTTCACAGCGAAAAGAAATACCTGTAAAAGCAGAAACATTGAGAATATATGAAGTATCCCATGCATGTGCTCTGTAGATTAATATTGTTGGAATTCAGTATATGCTGTCATATATTAGGGCAATGTGCTCCAGACATTATACAGACTTCCAGAGAATCCACTACTGAGCTGAGCAGAAAACACTACGAAGATTCCAGTCAATGTGCACCATCAGAATCTGGTCTCTGCACAGGTCCCCAAACTACAGGAGGGCTGGACTTTTCTGTAATACCATGCAGATAAACAAGTGGATTTCTTTTTTCCTAAGTTTAGAGTAATGTTGTCTGTGTATTTTCCAAGAGTGTCTCTGAAAATTGATTCTGAATTGAAATACAATGTAAAGTCTGTGTGTGACTTAAGTAATAAATATTTGTGGCAGTGCCATTTAAAATAATGTACATTTCCAAGACAGAAAGACCTCTCTACATAGTATTACAATAATTGGGAAAATAAAGTTATATGTTTGTTATAAGTGTTATCCTTCTGTCCCCATGCTTGCTTCCAACCTGAGGCAAACAACTTATAATCAGTTAGGAAGCATGCAGATGTCCATTTTTTTTTAATTTGAAGTGGGTTTTACAGATCTAGCAAAATTATATCCTGTACTTCAATGTTCAAAAGCTGCAGTATAGAATATACCTGACATTATAAGAAAGGCTGGGGATTCTTGTGTTAGGTAGTTTCCACCATAGCATGAAAAAACCCCCATCAAGATAAGCCACTGAAATCCAGTGTAGAAGACAAAGGCTTTTAGATGATATTCAAGTGATTGGCTCTAAATTCATTGTGTATATTCTGAAGGAAATCAGTTCTATAATTGTGACTTTATCACTATTATTTTTCAGAACAGCGATTTGTTGTTCTATCCACTTTGGGGGAACAAAAATAGACTTGTCCTCTTTTGAAATCTGTGGTTGCTTACTGCTTGGTCACCCTACTCTCCTTTGCTGCATTGTTTACAGATCAGCTTTGGTGTTGCTGCTTGTATTTCTAATTGCAACCTGTGATTCCTTCCAGTGACTTACAGATTGTCTGATCTCAACCTGCCAAGCAAGAATTTCTGTTCATTGGTCTTGTTTCACCACTTGGCATGACTGAGAAATATTCACCACTAATTTCTGTGCTAGTAGAGAGTAGAGCACCAAAATTGGTTACCCAGAGTGGAAATACCATCCTTGAGGATTTTCAAGATGTGGCTGAGTAAAGACAGCTGATCTCATATGCTATTTGACTGGCTATGAGCAGAAAGTTGGACTAGAGTTCTGCTCCTGCCGTGTATGTTCCCATGATGACTCTGTTTTCTTGCCATGACCTTCAAGAAATGTGTTCTTCTCCCTGTTTTCCATATCCTCTGAGAGAGAGGCAGAAGTGGACAAATAAATTCCAGAGAAGAAGCATGAGGCAACATACGAAAGTTAAAATGTAACAGGCAAATTGCAAGGTCAAGCAGTTTTGGTTTCGTGCTTTCTGAGCAGGGACAGCAGTAACTTTGGCCTCTTAGCACAGACTGATAGATATAAGGTTATCCTGCAGTATCAATCACAATGTGCTTAGCTAGTAATGCTCACAGCCAGTGGTGATAGCTCATGCCAGCATTACGTTATGTTAAAAAACCCTCAAAACACCAAACAATATTATGTGGGGAACATAACAAACTGTATTACTTCCTTGGAAAACCAGCTTCACTGCAGTTGTTCCCCAAACTTGCTTTTCTATCATCTCTTCTAACCAGAGAAAGTTCCCACCCATTGCCAGCAGTGAAAATCCATAATTCATAAAAAAGATTATCACCCAGGCTTCAGGACCACTTTAAAATTGGAGCAAATAAATAACATGACTTGGAAAGCATTTGTTTTTCATCTAATGCAATGGAGAAAGGCTGAATAAAAATTACTTATTGGATAGTAGGATTCCTGGGAATATGAAACTCCTGTACATTGTTTTCTAGCATTAATCACTTGTTACATAACCTGCTAATGTTATCCTTATTGACTCTGACCTAAAAAGAGAAGAAGATGTGGAATTAAGTTTCAAGTCTAAAATTTTAACCTGATTCTGGAGATGTGATAAGCATAAGAAGTAGCTTGCTGAAACACAGTCAAAAAGGTACTTTTCTGAAGTCACAAGGGACAGGCACAGCTACGTGGTTGAGGAAAGAACCTAAAGGCAGGTCACAGAGGTAAGTCTACATGCTTAACTGTGAACCTTGTATCACATCATGTTTTTCCTGCATGCCTCCAGTATATACAGAGACAAAAATATACCAAGGCAGAGATTCAGCTTGCAGCTTCAGTGAGAGAATTTCCCCCCATACTGTCCATGATAATTGTCTAAATGAAGAATTTCCAGTTATTTATTCACATAGTTATTGGTTACAGTACCTACAGAGTACACTGACCTGGAGAAGAAACATTCCTTCCTGAACTTGCTGCTAAATCACACAGAAAGTATTAATGGTACTCCACAAACATTAAAAGAGATAATTCTCCAGTCTCCCAAAGTCACAGAGCTTGCTGTCTTGAGGGGCAAAAGGGCACTAAAAATGCAGGGCAAAAAATGCAACACCTTTCTCTGAAACACTCGCTCCTTCACAGGATTCAAAGGATAAGCTTACCAGAACTGTCGCAGCAGCTGCTTCCTGGTCCCTGTTAGTTTTGCAATGCCGAAAAAGCCCCTCACATTAAACAGCATCTTCATTTGTATTAAGACTTACTCCAAGTCCCACAAAGTTGGGAGAAAGAAAGGAGTATGAAGCAGAGAACGAGCTGTGCTGCTGTGCAAATGAGGGAAAGCCAAGAACCAAGGTCTTCACTCTGGCTGTCCCAGACAGGGCTGGGCCAGGCAGGGGCTGACCCTGAAACCCTTCCTTGGTCAACCCCTACAGATACAGAGATTTCTCACAGAGCCCATTGCACCACTTGCAGTTTGCTCTTCTGCCCGTCGTATCACACCTGTGTCAATACCATTTCATAGCTATTTTGTGTTTGTTAAATATTTGTACAGGAGCATATGCTAGTAGAAAAATGCAAAAGAAGACTTTTAGGATGCAGCATTAGCAGGGCAGCTCCCCTAGGGATGGGACTGTGCCCATGGGGGCTCCTCATTTCTAGCACAGCCCAGGCAGGGACTGATGGCCCTGCACTGAGCCAAAAGAAGGGTTCTGGAGCCCAGGATGTGGAGCTGGGCAGGGCATAAAGGCTTATTTGTGCCCTCAGGGGCCTGACAAGAACGAAGAACAGCTACATTAAAAAATGTACATTTTCCTGTTTTTTTTTTCGGACAAAGTTTTCAACTGTGCTATGGTAGAATTAAACAGCCCTCAGTGGGGCCCAGAAACTGAAATATTGCAGCCTGCTTACCTCCTTATGCTAAACTGCTTGCTGTATAATCTGAAGTTGGTCAATTGCTAAATACTAAAGTGATTTCATTTAAATTTCTACTTTCAAATATAATTGTCAGACAAGACTTTATGCCACCTGCACTGTAGGTGGTTTTGAAATATGACCATTACTTTCTCATTTCCTCATTACTTTCTCATTTCCTCCTCTGTGTAGGGAGAGGCATACTAGTGTAAATCAAGCTGATGGTGTATCTGTCAGAGAGAGTGATATGTTGAAATTGCAATGTGAAGAACGTATAATTAAAACATGCAGAAAAAAAGGTTTGACTTCCCCAGAAAGAGAGACAGCTGTGAAAAAGTCATGCAGGGTGATAGCTCCTGGTGGGATTTGTTCAGGACCCCTCACGCCAAACCAACCCTGAGATGCCTGGAAAATGCAGCAGTTACCATGGGAAATGTCAGGCAGAAACAAAATCCAACAGAAATTAATAAGAAGGAAATGAAATAGAAGAAAGAGAAGAAAGCTGGGCCATGGTTTCCCTCCTGGTTTTCCTCTGGCAAATGACTCCCATGACCTTCAAGCCCAGCCCCTGCAGACTGTACATGTTCTGTTAGCGACACCCAGGAGAAAAGACAGCAGAGAAAAGAAATGTGGCCAAGGTGCCAAGGCCTCCAGTCTCGTTTTACAGTCCAACAGGGAGAGGATACTGCCAGTGCCCCTTTTTCTGGTCACCCCTTGTACTGAATCTGGCTGAGATGGAATTCATTTTCCCCACAGCACCCCTGACAGAGCTGTGCTTTGCAGCTAGAAAGGTGTTGATAACAGAGCGAGTTTTTTGGCTACTGCTGAGCAGTGCTGGCACAGCATCAGTGCTGTTACTTGAATTTCCCCCCCATTAGGAGGTCGGGGGTGGGCAAGATCTTGCGAGGGGACATAACTAGGACAACTAGCACTACACCCTTGTACAGGGACTGCCCGATCCAGTTACCACATGGACCAATTTCCTTGTCAGCTCCTGTGAGCAAGTGTTGCATCCCACTCCTAAGAAGAAGGGACCACCCAAGCTTTATAGATGCCTGTGGTCAGAAAGGAATATGACATTCATATAGTCATCTAATGTAATGAACAGAAGGCCTCCTTCCTCTCTGAGCTTGCAGGAGACTGACCCTTGACACCTCCTTTCCTGAGGGCAAGCAGCAGTCAGGGTAGGCAAAGCATTCATACATCAGTGGCTGCAGGGCGGTGCACCAAGAGTGCCCATGCTGCTTCCTTTTGGAAACACCTTGGGAAGGCAATGTCTTTCCACAGCTCATTTTCTTCCCAAACTCCCACCCTGAGGAAGGGCCAGGCCTTGGTACTTTTCTTTTGGAGAGTGGGGCTGCAGCAGCTGGGGCACCTCTGAGAGTGAGCAGCTTCCAACCTGCTGCACCTCGCCGTGCCCACAGCAAGATCATCTTCCAGCAATACATGTCTGCTTGGACACCTGGGACAACAGGGCATTACTGGACTCCTGTCAGCACAACTTCTGCTTCATCTGCATGCAGTGGTCATCCAAACCCAAAAGCAAATGCCCATTCCATAAACAGTCTTTCCCACTTATCCTGCATGCAGTGGTGGCCAGTGAAGACTTCCAGGAGCTCAGCATCCAACCACTGGTAGTTCTGTCCTTCACCCATCATTCCTTGTTCAAAGACCTCCTTACCAGCAGAGATACATTTGTCCAACCTTGTGAGATGTCTCCCATCTCTCCCAACTGCATGTTGATCTTCAAAGAGGATCTCACAGCCCCAGAAACCAAAATCCGGCTGCAGACACCTTCTTTCTATGAATCTTGCTTGTTGTTTCATAACCCATTTATATTCTTGGCAATCACACTATCTGGTAACTACAATCTCAGGCATCACTTTGTGAACAATGTTTGTTCAGTTTTATTTTGAACAGCTTTTGATGGATATCCCCTCCCTTCAGACTTAGAAGAATCAGTTAGGGCAGAAAGCAACAGGATATTGGGTTCAAAGAGATTAAATCCCTGCCTCATGTAGGAGCAAAAATCAAGCACTTTCTTTTTCCTTTTGAAAATGTGGCCACCCCTCTTTGTGTGTAGTTATATGGATATATCATCTTATGCACAAACTACTCTGTTGATTAAACTCTGCATAAAACAAGCCTGAAATTGGTTGTCCAGGCTGCCTGCTGCAGCCCCTGTTGCAGTACATCATCCTGAAAACAAGACCTTTGTCTTTCAGCAAGGGATGACCTGGTGTACCAGAAATACATGGGAATAGCAAGAAAATAGAACTCCATAAATGACCGTAGATTTTTTTGTCAGGAGGGAAAAGCTCCACTGGGAGTTTAGTACTACACAAGAAATATGGTTAAAACTGTACAAGCCTCTGGATTTATTTCAGTGGGATCTGGAACTGCCCTACCCAGAGTCACTGGGTGGGTGATTGAATATTGTGCACTTGATCAGAAGACTTTACACAAACATTCTGGTGAAAGAGATCATCAAACAGAGGAAACTTGTCTTTTAGAACCACAGAATCACAGCGTTGACAAAACAAAGTTTCAGAGCCATGTTCTGCTCCCTCAGCTGAGACAGGGCAGCTTTGCCAACCACTCAGCAAACAAACAGCTGAGCCAGGAGCCTGGCAAAGCAGGGAGCACAAGACGGAGCCCCAATGAGAGATGGCTCCTTTGGGAGCTGCAGGGACAGTCAGACTACAAAGCAGGAGGACATAAATGATGTCCAGCATGTAGGGATGCTGCCAAGAAAGCAAACTTCTGATAGAGCTAAGACTTGCAAGGGGCCTTCAAGGAGGGTGATTCTTATAATTGAATCACAAAATGACTCGGGTTGGAAGGGATGCTAAAGCCCATCTAGTTCCACCCTCCTGCCGTGGGCAGGAACATCTTCCACTAGACCAGGTTGTTCAGGGTCCTGCCTGGCCTTGAACACTTCCAGGGAGGGGCATCTACAGCTTCTCTGGGCAACCTGTTCCAGTGCCTCAATACCCTCAGGGCAAAGAATTTCTTTCATATATCCAATCTAAACCAACTCTCTTTCAGTCTGAAGCCATTGCCTCCTGTCCCATCACTACAACTCCCTGAAAGAAGGGTGTAGCCAGGTGGGGTTCAACCTCTTTCTCCCAGGCAACCAGCGACAGGACAGGAGGAGACAGTGTTAAGCTGTGCCAGGGGGAGTTTAGTTTTGATATTGGGAAGAATTTATCCACATACGGGATGATTAAACATCCGAACGGGCTGCCCAGGGAGGCGGTGGAGTCACTGTCCCCGGAGGTGTTTAAGAAAAGACTGGACGTGTCACTCAGTGCCATGGTCTGTTTGACACGGTGGTGTTCGGTCACAGGCTGGACTCGATGATCTCAGAGGGCTTTTCCAACCTAATTGATTGTGATCCCGTCGCTTGCTCAGCGCCGGCTCCGGGCCCAGGCCGCTCCGGGGCGGGCTCTGAGGGCGCGGTGCCGCCCCCCCTCCGGCCGCCAGGCGGCGCTGCCCCCCTCCCGACCCGGCCTCCTCGGGCCGCCATGGCCGCGCCCGCCGCGGGGGACGAGCTGCCCGTGCCCGGTGAGTGCGGCCGGTCCGGCGGGGCCCGGATGGGGGGACTCGGCCGCCCGTGCCCGCCCCCGCCCCGCGGCCGCCGCTCTGCCCCGGGTCGCTCCGGCTGCGGGCGGCGGGCGGGGCTGGGGCCGTCCGGCGTGTGGGGAGAGGCGCGTCCGCTGCCGTCAGAGATCGGCACGGCGGGGGCAGGGGGGCAGCGCCGGGCACCGGGGGGGCTCCCTTAATACCGAGAATTAATAATTAGTCTGTGTCGTGGTTTGCCCCGAGGTGATGATCAAACATTCGCCCGTTGCCCGGGACAACAAGCGCCTCGTTTATGTCCTGTGGGATTTGGTGTTAGGAGTTGAGGCGGTTCAGTTTCCAAGCGGATGGCTTCACAGCATCACAGAGTGGGTCGGGCTGGGAGGGACCACAGCGGGTCATCTGCTCCAAACCCCCTGCTCCACCGGGGTCATCCCAGAGCACGTGGCACAGGATTGCGTCCAGACGGTTCTGGAATATTTCCAGTGAGGGAAACTCCACACCCTCTCTGGGCAACCTGTTCCAGTGCTCAGTCACTGCACAGCAACAAAGTTCTTCCTCATG